GGGGCCATGCCCGTGCAGAATTGTTGTTTTTTGGTGGAGTGAAGCGGTTCCCGGACGGCTCTCATGGCCCGTTATGGCCCGTTCTTTTTTGCATTTGTTTGATTGAAGCGGCTCCCGGGCGGCTCCCATGGTGTGTTTCTCTATATTTTTCGTGGTGAAGCGACCCAAGCGCCCCAAGACGGCCCAAGAGAGCCCCAACATTGTCCAGGAGGGCCCCCAGACGCGCCCACAACGGCCCTTGAGGCCCCAAAGATCTTCTCAAGACGGCCCCCGAGGCCCCGCAAAGGGGCCGAAACTTGCCCAAGAGGGCCCCCCAGACGGCCGAAGAGGGCCCCAAGACAACCCCAGGGGGCTCCCAGACGGTCCCAAGAGAACTCCAAGAGGGCCCGAGAGGCCCCCAAGCGGGCCGCAGGAGGAGGGGGAGGAGGAGGAGGAGGAGGAGGAGGAGGAGGGAGGAGGAGGAGGAGGAGGAGGAGGAGAGGAGGATAGGACGGGAGGAGGAGGAGGAGGAGGGAGGAGGAGAAGAGGAGAGGAAGGAGGAGGAGGAGGAGGAGGAGGAGGAGGAGGAGAGGAGGACGAGGAGGAGGAGGAGGAGGAGGAGGAGGAGGAGGAGGAGGAGGAGGAGGAGAGGAGGAGGAAGGAGGAGGAGGAGAACGAGGGGAGTGGAAGGGAGGGAGGAGGAGGAGGGAGGAGGAGGAGGAGAGGAAGAGGAGGACGAAGGAGGAGGAGGAGGAGGAGGAGGAGGAGGAGGAGGAGGAGGAGACAGAGAGAAGACAGAGGAGGAGTAGGGAGGAGGAGGAGGAGGAGGAGGAGGAGGAGGAGGAGGAGGAGGGTGGAGACGGTGAGGAATAACAGGAAGGAGAGGAGGAGGAGGAGGAGAAGGGAGAGGAGAGGGAGAGGACAGAGGAGGAGACAGAGGAGCGAGTGAGAGGCGGAGGAGGAGGAGGAGGGACGGGAGGAGGAGGAGGAGAGGAGGAGGAGGAGAAGGAGGAGAACGAGGCGGAGGAATAACAGGGAGGAGAAGAGAGGAGGAGGAGGAGGAAGGGAGGCGGAGGAGGAGGAGGAGGAGGAGGAGGAGGGGGAGGAGAGGAGAGGAGGGGAGGGGGAGGAGGAGGAGTTGGAGGAGGATGGAAGGAGGAGGAGGAGGAGGAGGAGGGACAGGAGGAGGAAGGAGGAGGTGGACGAGGAGAAGGAGGAGGGAGGAGGATGAGGAGGAGAAAGAGGAGTTGGAGAAAGATGAGGAGAAGTAACAGGACGGGAGAGGAGAAGGAGGAGGAGAAATGAGAGAAGGAGGTGGAGGAACAGGACGAGGATGAGGGATGAGGAGAAGAGGAGGAGGAGGAGGAGGAGAGAGTGAGAGGAGGGAGGAGGATGAGAGAAGAAGAGGAGGAGAAGAAGGAGGAAGGAGCAGGAAGGGAGGAGGAGAGGAGGAGGAAGGAGGAGGAGGAGGCAGGAGGAGGAGGAGGAGGAGGAGGAGGAGGAGGAGGAGGAGGAGGAGGAGGAGGAGGAGGAGGAGGAGGAGGAGGAGGAGGAGGAGGAGGAGGAGGAGGAGGGAGGAGGAGGAGAGGAGGAGGAGGAGGAGAAGCAGGACGAGGAAGAGGAGGAGGAGGAATAGGAGGCGGAGGAGGAGGAGGAGGAGTGAGGAGAGGAGGAGAGGAGGAGGAGGGGAGGAAGCGGAGGAGGAGAGGAGGAGGAGGAGGAGGAGGAGGCGAGGAGGAGGAGGAGGAGGAGGATGAGGGGAGGAGGAAGAGGAAGAGGAGGAGAAAAGAAGGAGGAGGAGGAGCAGGAGGAGGAGAAAGAGGAGCAGGGCTCCCAACTGAGAGCGCTGACGTCGCACGCGCCCAGCGGCAAGGCTCCCAAGAGCGAGCGGTGACGCAACAAGCTCTTACCACCAAGGCTCCCAAGAGCGAGCGGCAACGAACGCATCCCTGGGCACGAGGACTCTGAACAGAGAGCGGTGCCACAACAAGCTCTTCCCAGCAAGGCTCCCCCAACAGAGAGTGGCGACGCAACACGCGCTTACCAGCAAGGCTCCCAAGAACGAGCGGTGACGCAACAAGCTCTTGACACCAAGGCCCAAGAACGGGCGGCAACGTAAAAGTCTCTGAACACCAGGGCTCCCAACAGAGAGCGCTGACGTAATTAGTTCTTAACGCAACGGTTCCCAAGAGCGAAGGGTGCCGTGAGCCCTGTCGGGCAGGTTGCTGCAGCGCTCTTTCCGCTCCCGTGCTGGCCCCAGGTCTACCGCCTGCATGCGTCCCCCCACCCACCCAGTACAGCGCTTCGTGGCCTCATAGAGAGCTCCACCGACGGCCCCAGTGCTACCGCCCGCCGTGGCTCCATAGGGAGCTCCACCGACGGCAGTGCTACCGCCCGCATGCGCCCCCCCCCACCCAGCGTTTCGTGGCCCCATAGAGAGCTCCACCGAAGGTCCCATCGCTACCGCCCGCATGCGTCCCCCCCCACCCAGTGCAGCGCTTCGTGGCCCCCCACAGGGAGCTCCACCGAAGGCCCCAGTGCTACCGCCCGCATGCGTCCCCCCCCCCCCCACCCAGTACAGCGTTTCGTTGCCCCATGGGGATGTCCACCGAAGGCCCCAGTGCTACCGCCCGCATGCATTTCCCCCACCCAGTGCAGCGCTTCGTGGCCCCATGGGGAGCTTCAACGAAGGCCCCAGTGCTACCACCCGCATGCGTCCCCTCCCACCCAGTACAGCGCTTCGTGGCCCCATAGGGAGCTCCACCGACGGCCCCAGTGCTACCGCCCGCATGCGTTCCCCCCCACCCAGTGCAGCGTTTCGTAGCCCCATAGGGAGCTTTACCGAAGAATATATTCACAATTGCGGTACCCACAACTGTATGTGGTTGGGTCCTTCGCCAGGATATGTTTTGTTATTTTTCGCGCAAGCGTCAAAAGGGACCTCGCCCCTTACCGTGGCCCTGGAGCCCTCGCCGCAGCCCTGGTTTGTTTTTCGTTGCATGTTTCGTTAGTTTCCGCACAGGCCTCATGTGGAACCTCGCCCCTCGCCCTAGCCCTGCCTCCCCGCAACCCTGGTCATTTTTTGGTTTCGTGTTCCGTTTGTTTTCGCATGCCGGATAGAGGTGTCAGGAGCGCCACCGGGCGTCGGGCTAATAGAGGCGTCAGGCCGAATAGAGGCGTCAGGAGCGTCACTGGGCGTGAAGCGAATAGAGAGGCCATGCCGAATAGAGGCGTCAGGAGTGCCACCGGTCGTCGGGCCAATAGGGACGTCAGGCCGAATCGAGGCGTCAGTAGCGCCACTGGGCGTCAGCCCAATAGAGGCGTCATTCCGAATAGAGACGTCAGAGGCGTCACGGGGCGTCAGGCCAATCGAGGCATCGGGCTGAATAGAGGCGTCGAGGACCGCCCCTAATAGAGACAGCGCAAATCCAATAGATGCGGCGCGGGCCGAATAGAGGCGTCAGGAGCGTCAGGCAGATAGAGACGTCAGGCCGAATAGAGGCGCCAGGAACGACACCAGGCGTCAGGCTAATAGAGGCGTCTAGCCGGATAGAGGCGTCAGGAGCGCCACCGAGAGACAGGCTAATAGAGACGTCATGCCGAATAGACGCGTCGGGAACACCACCGGGCATCAGGCAGATAGAGGCGTCAAGCCGGATAAAGGCGTCAGGTACGTCACCGGACGTGGCCAGTGTTTCTTTGTTCAGGCATTCCGGCACGCGTCCAGGGCCCATCAGTTTTTTATGTGTACATAATATGTTCATATGTGTACATATACGTAAGTACGCATATATATACATATATATATATATATATTATGCATATAGACTCATAAGTATATCAGTATATACGTAGATTTATATGCAACCGCTACAGTGCACCGCGGTTGTGTTCTTCGGGACGGGGAACTTAAGAGTTCAATGACACTCGCATCATCTTTTCAAAGAGTGCGTGTCACCGATTAGCGTGTTGTGCGAAGCCGTGGCATTTTCCCCAACAGTAACATGCTGATGGGGTCGCCTGGCCAGCGAGGCATTGGTATTGTTCGTGTTCTCCGAGTATGGTTGCATTGGCCGCATGTGGAAGGGCATGCACGTGCGTGCAATGGTATTGCGCGAACGCTCGAAGTTGCACATCATTGTCGCGTCCGCGGGCTAGTGGTTGGTATGCTTTCGCATGAGCACGCTGTGAACGTACGAAACGTTATGTATATTTGCGTGTGCGCGTCTCTGATTGATTGATGATCATGACTAAACTGGATTCCATCTGCGCACATCTATGCAAGCGAATGTGCACTTGCAGTGGTGCAAGCGCGCCCGCATATCCTCACGTGTTTGTCGTTCACTTGCGTTCGGATGACGCGATACGTCACAGACGATCCGTGTGTTCCCCCAAACGGGATTGCGAGTTCTATTTGTATCAGTTGAATGTTGCTTTTGATTGCTCTATTTGTGTCTACTTCATAATGACATTTGCATCGCCAGTGAAGCTTGTGAAGAATCAAAAGTGCCTCCACGTAGAGCTCGCTTTGAACCCGAAAGTGCAAGTCTCACATGTAGCAGCTGTCGTTCGATGCCCGGCATCATGCAACACATTTTTCGCAGATCGTATAGGTTCTGGGGGTTGGGGGGCGGGGGAGCTTGAGGGAACTACCAGATTGCGGAATGGGGTCAGCTCACGTTTCTTCGTAGTGCCGATTATCTTGCATTGCAGTTTTTTATCAGCCGTCCGCTAATGAGAGATGGTTATTGATCTTCTATGGGTGTGTGCCGATCGCGCAACGAGATAGGGGGAGTGGGCAAACATTTCATCGTATTCGTTCGACGAGCTTGTTGTTTTCTGTACGTTGTGCAGATCACACTTTGTTGTATAATGTGACGTGGCCGTTGCAATGAGTGACACGGGATCATGCTTCGCCAGGTTCGCAGGTATCTTCCATAGATAGGCGTTACATTGACCGACAATTCGGCTGCATTTTAGTTGCATGTGGACGTGTCGATGTCGGAGTGCATGCTGGAAAGGAATTGGTGGATTTGCAGAAGGAGCTACAGCAGCAGAACCAGTGGCCCTGTATCTCCGGGTTGAAAGGCAGCCAGTTGCCTGGTATTTTTGACGAATTGCATTTGCTCGCTATCTCTGTGGCTGAAATCCGTCAGAGGGTGTGTCCGCCCTAACCATGCTGGACTCCATTGCACGTTCCTGGCGATATCCCGTATCAGAGCTTTGACGCAATCGCTTACTCGCGTGCCAAAGTGGGGTGCGGTGGGGAACTCCGACACTCAGGAGCAACGGAGACGGGCAAATGTGTCCCGCGGTGTAGGAAACCGCCTCGTTGTTGTATTCACCACTCGACAGTGTCTCAATACGTGTTTTTTGCTTGCGTCAGTCGTTCAGCAGCCAGTGAAGTGGCCCGCGTGCCTCCTATGGCCGCCCCTCTCAATGTGCAACCAAAACTTCTGGTTTGGCGCACTGGTTGTGAGCTGTGCTTCAGCCGGCGTTTCATGGGAAGCTTGGCGTGTGCCGCGAACAATTGTGGTTTCCTTTGCTTGCAGGGTGCAGGGCCTGATTCGATGACGTAAGCGCCTCAGCATGGGAGTTCTCAGGTCACCTTGTGGGCACCTCTTTCGCAGCGCCTTGGGGGAGGGCACGGCTGGCTTAGTGTTGCGGAAGACGATCAATGGAGAGGAGACAGATTGCCAAACGGTCTTCAGATGTCTAACACATGGTTGAACTATGTTTCCTAAAGTGCTCGAACATGCTTTAGACACGCAGGGGACATTTCAGAGGCATGTTCAACTCAATGATAATGGTTAGAGTCATGGCATCCACAAGCTTATTGCCGCTTGGGGCGCTCTGACCATTGTATGAGGGCCCTGCTGATATGTCGGGTCAGCGGAGTTTTTGAAAGTTGTACTTCACAGTTCTCTAGAGCAGCACCGCCGCGCAACACCGCTCAACAACGTCCAGCACCGCGCTTCGCCGCGCAGCACCGCGCAGCACCGCGCAACAACACCGCGTCCAGCACCGAGCGGCGATGAGCGGTGTTGCGCGGTGTAGGTGTCCACGGCGGTTCCCAGGGGCTCCCATGGATCGAGCGCGTACGGTGATGCGCCGCAAGGGTAGTGACCAGCTCGGACCCTCAGGCATTCTGGCGTGCGGCGTGTACACGTGCGTCAGCGGCGCCGACTTCAGGGGCCAGCGTACGCGTGGCGAGTTGCTGGTGGAGCAGGGTCCGTCGGCCATGCGCGGGCGCCCACCGCCGTGCCTCTTGGTTTTGCAAGGGGGGCATGCAGATCTGCGCCAGGTCGCGCCGCCTCGACGCGGCGGCTGCGCCCGCGCGGGCGCTCAATGTTGAGCTTTCTTTCCGCAGCGACGTGGGGCTCAACGCAGTGGAATTCGAACGGGGCGCGGACCAGCCAATTGCGAATTTGTGTAACATAAAGAGAAACAGAGCGGCCGCGAAGCGAGGCAACGGGAGTGGACCCGCTCAGAACATGGTTCAATGTTGAACACGTTCCAGTCGCCTTCGCGTAAGGGTGATCCTTAGCCAGAGTGGCGTTTGGAGCGCGGCTTTGGCGGGGCCCTGGGGGGGGAGGGGGCAAACCCAGGTGGGCAAGCCGATATTGTCGCATCGCATGCAACGATCGGCAAGCCGTGCAACAATATCTTGCGTGTAGCGGATCCAGGTTCTTGTTCCAAGCCCCCAGACCAACAGACAACAGCGCACGGTACGAAATCAATGCGATTGGTGGGGTCGACGCAGACATTTGCGGCTCCGAAAGGGAAGATCATCCATTGATGGATGAGCGTTTATCACGTCGTCGGAAGCAGCATCGGCGCAGTAGGAGCCCATATCTCTGAAGGTTCCCATGTGAGGTATCCATGCTCTCGGGGTGCTGAGGGCCCAGTGTGGCACCTATATGACAGCCATCGAAGCTTGTGGAACGCAGGCCAAGCATGTTGCGATGAAGTTCTTCGACGGAATCCACAGGCAGGTACGATCAAGGTAATAGGGCGACAAGCAAATTCGCGACACACGACAAGCTACATCCAGGCGAAGACCCACGCGTCAAGCAAGCCAACCTCGAGCAACATTCTAGCCATCGGCAAGTGAGCGTGACAAGCTAGCATTGCCAAGTCCGTAAGCTGAATAATGCTTGGAAAAAAAACAGCCTCGAGGCAAGCCGCATGCAATATCAAAACTGGTGATGGAGCAGCAGTCGACACCAGCAGAAAGCTACGATCTTCTCGAATAACATATGCGCATCCTCAACACAGGATGACGTCATCAATAACGCGGGGGGGGGCGACAGTCGCCTAAAGCCACCTTGCACCGACGAGGTTACACGAAGAAAATTGGTCCTGAGAGCTCCCAACTGGTCCCGGCATCTCAGGGTCCTTCCAGGGTCCCAGGACTTTCGACAAACGCTCTGGGATATGACATTGGCCCTGGAGTTCCCAGAGTCGAGGGCCTGATTTTCCCACGGACCCACTTCCGTTCTGCAATATCAATTGGTGTGTTTGGATGCTTCTTCACTGGAACGTGCGTCGGCGCGGATGCCCAGGAGGCGAAACCAAGACGCAGGTCACGTAGCTTTGGCATCAGCAAGCGGCAAGACCAGCGAACATACCTATACGACCACCCTTCGGGTGATAAGGAGGCTCGGGGGGGGAGGAACCAACGTCTCACTCGATCAGTCTCACTATCGATCCCACTATCGATCTCACTATCGATCTCGCTCGATCGATCTCACTCGATCGATCTCACAATCGATCTCACTCGATCTACTTCATTCGATCGATCTCACACTCGATCTGACTATCGATCTCACAATCGAGCTCACGATCGATCTCACGATCGATCTCACAATCGATCTCACATTCGGTCGCACTATCGATCTCACTATCGATCTCACAATCAACGTCGTCATCATCATCAGCATAATCGTCATCAACGTTATCAACAGCATCATCATCATCATCGGGACACCATCATCATCACCTCATCACCATCATCATCAACATCACCATCATCACCATCATCAGCATCATCATGGGGACACCATCATCTTCACCATCAGCATCGTCATCATCATCACCATCATCATCATCATCGGGACACCATGATCAGCATCACGGGGACACCACCATCATCATCATCATCATCATCACCTCATCATCAACAACATGAACAACATCAACATCATCATCGTCGGGACATCATCATCATCAGCAACATCATCATCATCATCATCATCATCATCATCATCATCATCATCAACATCAACATTATCATCATTGGGACCATCATCATCGTCACCATCATCATCACCATCATCACCATCGGGACACCATCATCATCATAATCAACATCAGCATCATCATCACCATCCTCGGGCCACCATGATCAAAATCATCAGAATCACCTCATCATCATCCTCATCACCATCTTCAGGACACCATCATCATCATCATCATCATCATCAACATTATCATCATTGGGACCATCATCATCGTCACCATCATCATCACCATCATCACCATCGGGACACCATCATCATCATAATCAACATCAGCATCATCATCACCATCCTCGGGCCACCATGATCAAAATCATCAGAATCACCTCATCATCATCCTCATCACCATCTTCAGGACACCATCATCATCATCATCATCATCATCAACATTATCATCATTGGGACCATCATCATCGTCACCATCATCATCACCATCATCACCATCGGGACACCATCATCATCATAATCAACATCAGCATCATCATCACCATCTTCGGGCCACCATGATCAAAATCATCAGAATCACCTCATCATCATCCTCATCACCATCTTCAGGACACCATCATCATCATCATCATCATCATCATCATCACCGGGACACCATCATCATCATCACCATCATCATCAACAGCATCATCATCAACCTCATCATCACCATCGGGACACCATCATCATCATCATCATCATCATCTCCATCATCATCATCTCATCATCATCCCATCAACATTGTCATGATCATCAACATCATCATCATCACCAGAATCACCAGCGGGACCCCGTCATCATCATCATCATCAGCATCATCACCATCATCAACAACATCATCATCGGGACACCGTCATCATCACCACCATCACCATCATCATCATCATCAACATCGTCATCACCATCATCATCATCATCATCATCATCATCATCATCATCATCATCATCATCGGGACACCATTATCATCACCAACATCACCATCATCATCATCATCATCAACATCATCGACATCATCATCATCATCATCAACAACATCATCATCATCATCATCATCGGGACACCGTCATCATCATCATCATCATCATCGTCATCGTCATCATCATCGTCATCGTCATCGTCATCATCATCATCATCATCATCATCGTCACCATCATCATCATCATCATCATCATCGGGACCGACGGGACACCGGCGGGACGCCGGCGGGACACCGCGGGCCACCGGCCCTCGGAAAGGAAACATTTGGTCCGGCCGCGCCTCAGCTTGAGGCGGGACACCGGCGGGACACCGCGGGCCACCGGCCCCCGGAAAGGAAACAGTTGGTCTGGCCGCGCCCCAGCCGGAGGAGACTTTCTTCTCGCCCGCCCACGCAGCTTTGCCTCGTCCGCACGCACGGCACGCACGAACACGAAACCGAAACCGATTTCCCGGTAGGGGGGCTCTCCGTTCCACTTCGATCTCACCCTCTCACCTCCGACCCAGCAGCTAAACCGATTCGATAAGCCATGGCACCTTCACCTGCCATGGTCTACGTGTGTAGAGAGAACATCTCGTTGTCCACGCGAAGTTCTGAGGATCAACGGGTCGATTTCATGAGTCGGTCTATCAGCCAGGCTCACCTCGCTGATATAACATTACGTATATTTCAGGAAATCTGCCAGGCGAGTGGGATTCGTATCGTGATCATCAGTTCCGCCTCCTACAACACAAAGCGTCGGTGCTCTTCAACTTTATCTTTTGTCAGGGTACCGTCCGCAGCCCCTCGTTGTCCGACACCACGTTCGCATCGTCAAAGCGCAGCGCTGCTGCTTCGCAACTCTACACCCGCATGCCCACCATTTGTTTGCAATGCGCTCTTCGTTCTTCATGGTACCCGTGCTGTCTCACCGCTGGACTGAGCGGCGTCCTTCCGCACATGCGCATCTGGCACTTACCAGTTTTCCATCGTCGCTACTATTAGTAATATGTTCTTTCACGATTTGTTACGTGCTCCCTGCATAGGTGCCGCGTGTTCATCAAGGGCTCGCATTGCCGCAATCGCGCCTACCATTTCGATCGCTGCTGGGTGCGGATACTCCTGGCCCGGATTCCCTCACGGAGGGGGGAGGGTCCGATCGTCGTTGTTGTTGTGAGGTCTCGCCCAAGGTCTCGTCGTGACAGAGTGATTGCATTCATGCTGGACTGTTCAGTATGCACATGCGCTTGCCGTTATCGTTGTTTTGCATGCGTCGGGTCCACTGTTATGTGTTCTATGGTGTGTCATCGACTGCGTCATGTGTCCTGCGCAGTCGCCTTCGGGCATGCCTGACCGTGCCATTGCGTCCTGTTGGTTTGCAGTGTCTCCCCCTTCTCCCATGTTGGCGTACGCGCTTGGCCCACATTGACCGAGAGACATGCAACCATTCCTATGCTGGTTCCGAGTGTCGCAAACGATGGGTTTATGGAAAGGTGTCTGTACCACGTTTAATTTTGTTGTTTCACGGGTCCCATTCTTTCTTGGATTACAGTACCGATGGTTATTACGCTTGCGATTCGATCTTCACTTCGGGACGATAACGGTCGAGCACAGGGCATACGGACGATACACGCGCGAAGTGGTGTTATGTGGTCTTATTAGGGTAGTACATGTCGCCAGCCGTGTGAAACAGGGCAGGAGCGATTGCCCAACGTCCAAGACTTCTGTCTGGGATGCCGCAGCTGCTGAGCGCACAGTCCTGTTCGGGAAAGTCGTGCGAGCCGAGGAGCCCATGTATTGTGTCCTCGTCTCTCGGGTAGAACTTAATGTGGTTATCTTCGTTGGTGTGGCAATGTGGTTTGGAATGCTATTGGCCCGTGCATGTTGGGCAGCGGGTTCGAATCAGCCACCGCGTTCGGGCGGGCGCCTGGGGGACGTGGGAGGTAGGGGGAGGGCGGCGAGGCGGTGGGGAGGAGTCACGTCCATCGGAGTTCCTACGCGAGCACTTGAGTTGGACACCACTCTGTGTGGGGAATGCAGCCGTTCTATGTTTTTGCGCACGAAGCGTTGGTATTCATTGAAGGTAGCCCGACGCTCTGCTTGTGTGGTTCTGGTAAGCGCTGCATGCTTGAAAAGCAGATGTTGGTGCATTGTTCTGTTTATATGTTTAAAGCATGGGCATGTCGGGCTCGATGCGTCGAATAGTGGTCCAATGTGTACTGCGCAAGAAACGGAACTAACCAAACGCACACGCACGCGCACGCGCACGCGCACGCGCACACGCACACGCACACGCACACGTACGCGTACGCGCACGCGCACGGTCACGAGAATGCGCACGCGCACGCGCACGCGTACGCGCACGCGCACGCGCACGGGCACTCGCGCACGCACACGCACACGCACGCGCACACGCACACGCTCACGCTCACGCACGCAGGCACGCACGTAGGCTCGCACGCACACGCACACACACACGCACGCACAGACTCACACAAACACACACTCGCACACAAACACACACACACACGCACACAACATGCACACGCACACGGACACGCACAACGCACACAACACACACGCACACACGACAAACACAACATACACAACACACAGCACGCAACACACACACACACACACACGTCTAACGCTGCAAGTGCCGTGCCGCATCGCGCTTCCATCGAGTCACCGCCCAGCGAAGGGGGACGCTGTCCCTCGGACCAACTGGGAGGGGTCGGGGGCCGGACCGGGGAAGGCCCGTGCTACCTCCTTTGCTTCCAGGCAGCTTGCGCGGAGGAGCCGCCTGAGTAAGGCGTCGGTGACGGCAGATGGTTCCGTGGACGCACGTATGGTAGGGGTGCCACGACGTCGGCTGCACAGATGTGAATTTGGCCGCACATCGGGCCGCAGAAGGTCATTTTGCGGAGGGCGGGGGGCCTGCCGTGATGGGCAAGCCAGCTCTCCGTAGGGGCCCCGGTGAGGGCGTGGCAGGGATTCGTCAAGGAGGGCGTTGCATGCGTGGCAAGGGGGGGGGGGCAGGAGGGAGAGGGGAGGATGGATACCTGTCCCACCCAGGCTTCCTCAATGCGTTTTCTGTCTTCCGAGCTGGATCTCCTAGACGGCTTCAGTCCTCAAGTCTCATTCGCAGGATTTGGCTTATCTTTGGTCGTGCAATCAGCGACGGTGACTCTCGACACATCGCACGTGGGGGAGGAGGTGGAGTAGCAGCAAGAGCCTGGCGAACTCAAGGCAGGGAAACGAGGGAACGGTGACGACGAGGAAGGAATCATATTCAGAAGTGTGGCTCGCAATTTGTCATTCCGATCGACGGAAGCACTGCAACGATCCAGAAATGAGGCCAACGCTTCAGCGCGAGCGCCGCTTTGAAGTTCCGAAGACGCTCCGAACTGAAATGCAAATCTGAAAATCGAACACTGGCATCTGGTGTAAAAAAGCAACGCGCTGGAGAGGCAGCACCTCCGTTGAACATGTTTAGGTGGAGGGGAGAGTTGTATTCAATAAGTAGTATTCGTGATGGCTCCCTGTAGCAGATCAGGAGAGGATGGGGCGCTAGGCAAGAGGAGAGGGGTTGTGAGTTTTGTTGCCGTCGGCAGTTCGCAGTTGCCGCTGGCCGTCTCGGCCACCATCTGGGACCCTTAGGACCCTCAGACGGCAATCCAGTTGCATTCGGCCCATCCTGCCACCCTGGGTCTCGTGGGAGCCTCTTGGGTGCCTCTTGGAGCTTCTCGGGGGGATCCTCGAGGGCTCTGGGGGGCTTCCTGGGGCTTCCTGGGGACCCCTTGGGGGCCTCTGGGCGGCCTCCTAGCCGCTTCTGAGGGGCCAGCAGCGAAAGGGCTTCACGCATATTGTGCCGTTGTCCCAGTGTTGATATAAGTGTTCCCAGCTGCCGGCGCGGGCCCGCGGCCCTCGCGCCCTTGCGGCAAGGCCGCACAGATGGCAAGTTTTTCCCCCCGGGATCCGAGGTCGCTCAGCCTCATCCTCGTCCTCCTTCTCCTCCTCCTCCTCCTCCTCCTCCTCCTCCTCCTTCTCCTCCTCCTCCTCCTCCCCCTGCGTAACTTTAGGGGGAGGGTGGGCTGTCTCAGGGGGGAAGCATCGACCTGGAATCGATGATATATCGCCGATGCGTCGGCGATAGACCCCGATAGCGAATCCGCACGGTCCTGGTCGGCGGAGTAAGTTTCGGGGGGCGCGGAGTAGGTTCTCTTCTGCTGAATGACGAAGCGGAGCAAGTTCAATCGGGACGCGAATTCAGTTTATCCGCGCGGGAGAACGTGCGGAGTGAGCTCTCACCCTGTAGTACGTTTATTATGTAAAGGACAACTGGGGTGAGCGGGAGCCGAAACCTGCTCCGCCGCAGGCGAATGACATGCTGCAGGATTCTGCGGGGGAGGGTGGCCTCGTCGACGGGAATGGTTAAAACTTGAATAATGGCATTGTAGTAGTGCGAGATCCTCCCCTTCTTGATATCCTCTTGGGGCCGCCTTGGGAGCTTCTTCAGGATATCTTCCAGGCGTGGAGTCTGTCTCGGGGCGATGTTTTCGAGGACTTCGTTGGCCGTCTTGGGCGTCGTGAAGTTCGAGAAGGCGAGCGCGCGAACAACACAAAGAGCTTCAGGGCGAGGTCCTCAAGGAGCTGCAGGATGGCCCCATTGGACCCAATCTGGAGCTGCCTGCTCGAAATTTGGTGTGTACCACTGAGCGTAGCACGAGTTTCAGCGTAGCAGCGCAGCAGTGTAGCAGTGTATCAGAGACTCTGTAAAGAAGTTACGGTTTTCGTCAACGGAAACTTCGGCGTGCCTGAGTCGTTGACCGGCACCGGTTTCGGCGTACCTGAGTCGTTGACCGGCACCTGGGACCGTCTTCCGAAGGCCCCGAGAACTTGAAGCTAAAATTCGAATCCTCCGGCCGGTCGGCTGGGCAGCCCCTGAAACCCCCAAAAAGGGCTCTTCGAATTTCCTTCCGGGGCGCGTTCCGGAAGAGCCCTTCCGGAACGCGGTGGGGCCGCCCGTGTTTATGTTGTAATCTTGCATAGCGTTGCATTGTTTGGACATGTGCCAATGGTGATCGGTTACCGACGCCATTTGGCTCAAGATCGATACTTGTGCGCACGTCTACTGGAAAAACGTCTCTCTTCCATCTTACGACAGATGGCATATTCTCCAGCAGAGTCCTCAATAGTACCCTGGGCACCCACTGCGTCACCCCGTGGGGCACCAAGTACAGACCAACGAAACCAGCCTCACAAGGGTTATGAGCCCAAATCGTGAGCCGAACATGGGAATACTACTGGGACTTGAATGTCAATGCCCTCTCTGCTTCAACATGGTGATCGATCCGCCTACGTGTTCACAATGTGGGCGCTATGGACACCCTGGATGCATTGGAGTGGAATACTTTCAGTCTCTTCCGTTTTGTTCTACGTGCATGGTTGGACTTATTACTGAATATGCCCACCGCGAGGACATGAGGAAGAGGGAGGAATGGAGGCGTACTTACGAGGAACAACTGATGGTGTGGAAATCCCGTGTGACGACTGCTCTGGGGGTCTCGGCTACGGTTGGGGCTACACTGGGTGGAGCAACGGCGACAGTTCTTACTTCTGCAGTGGGACTGGCACGAGGAGCAGTGGCTGCAGCCCACGCTGCGGCTTCCAGCGGCGTGCCAGAACCCCCCAAGGCGATAGAGGACACACCACGTCGACCACCACAACGCAGCTTGTCCGCGGGGGCCCTCCCGAAGGCGCCGCTGGCGTTGACGGCAGACTTCGGCCGAAGGGAGGGGCATTGCCTTGCGTGCCACACCAAGAACAGAGGGCACGTTCCACATCTCCGAAGCGGGGATTGCGTCGGCTTCCCGGGCAGCTCCTACTACCGCAAACAAGCAGCATCTTCGGCGAAGCAACCCAGCGACAAAAAGGACTTGCCATCTTCCGCAGACGTGTCCTTCAACTCCGCGGAGGAGCAGGCCGAGGACCACGCCGGCGCCTCGGCAGCCGCTTCGGGAGTGCCTGAGCCGTCGGCCGGCAACCCGGGCGAGCTTGCGCGAGTGCCTCGGCCAGATGCGTCCACGGATGTCGTTTCGAGAGTGCCTGAGCCGCCGGCCGGCACCTCGAGCGACCTAGCTCGCCAGCAGGGTGCCAGCACGTCTACCTCGACGGACTCTGTTCTCCAGCTCGTTTTGAACCGCCTGGACAAGTTCGAGTTCGCGTTGACGCGCTTGGGCGACAACCAGCAGGTGATCATGGGAGATATGACGCGACTTACGAGCAGGATGGACACCACGGAGGCGGAGATACACAAGTGGAATGGAGAATACCAGCAGCAGTACGACGATGCACATGTACAAGGGGAAGATCTTCAAGGAGCTCCAGTTTTGGACTCTCGTACAAGGCCTCTGGCGTTGCTGGAACAATTTCCTGGTGTGGGAGGTGATGGAGCTACGCATTTCTCTCTTCCTCAAGGGCACACGCCGCGTGGGGAGAGGGAGGTGGACGCGGAGGACTTGTGGCTCGAAGCTCCTACCGGTGGGCTTGGAATCAATCTGGATACACCGACTGGGCGTTACGATGCCCTGGGCCTCAGGGCTCCCAGTGGGAATCCGGCGGCATACGGAGCGCATGCGTTACCAGACGTTCCGAGGGCTCCTACCGACCTGAGGCCAGATCCGAGGAGTAGCTTGGAGGTCAACCCGCGTGTGCCCGGCGCGAGGGTGACGAACCTCGTGCCTGACGCTGTGCTTCAGCCAACTGGACCCAGTCTAGCTGAACGACATCTCCGAGCCAACCTGCAGCAAGGCTCCGGGGAGGTCGGCAACCTCAACCAACAACAACCGCCAGGGTTTGCGCATCTTCATCCCCGTCTCCACCCAGCCATTGGCACGGGGCTCGTGGACGGACAGGGCGTGGATGGCAGCGCAGCTTTCGGTAAAGACGTCTTGTCTCTGGGAACCCCGGGCGCCAGCAGCGCGGCGACTTTTTCCGGGCAGCTCGCTGTGCAGTCTTGGACGGGCCACGCTGGCGCAGAGGGTGAGATCCCGCGGAGTTTCGATGACGTGTTTGGAATGTTCGAAGGGTCCCAGTACGGAAGCGTTCGCCGGGGTGGCCAACTTCACGACGCGCCGCCGCACTTCGGGACGAGCCCACCTTCATTGGCCCATGAAGGAGTTGGCCTCGCAGGTGGGGCTGGGGCGAGCTCTCTGGGACTGTCGCGTGCAGCGATGGTGCCGTCGGATGCGCTGTCCACGGCGGAGCTCAGCATGATCCTCAAGGCGATTCAGAGCTGCGTTGGAGAGTTCCCCAACATTGAGATGGGCAGTTTGGCAGAAAGGCCAGAGCATCTTCGGAAGTGGAGGTACGCCGTGCGTCAAGCGCTCGAAGCGGCAGGTCCGGCCGTTGTGGCCCGGTGGACATGGTGCTGGGAGACGGCCGAGACCGCGCACCCCATCTACATGAAGACCTCCATCATGACTCGCGAGGGGATTGCAGTGAAGGCGCGCAACCAGCCGAAGTGGCGACAGCTGGAGATTTGGATAAAACCTAAGTTGATTGCGTGCTTACCACAGCTACTGAAGAAGCAGCTGACAGCTGACCCAGGGGGGCGTCCAGGGAATCTGCGACGAGACCCAGGACATCCTCTACCTGGTCCTGCAGACGTGCTGCCCTGGGGCGGCGGACGAAAAGTCCGCGGTCTTGACGCAGCTGACCAACCCGACTCCTTGCTCCGAGCCCGAGTCGGCCCTGGCCGAGCTCCAGCGTTTCTGGGCTGCCGCCAGGAGGTGCAACCAGCTTTCGATGTCCTTTCCGGATGTCACAGTTTTGTATACTGCGTTGAGGTCAATCTTCTCGAACGCCCTGGCCGGAGCTGACGATAACCTACGACTCCGTTGGACGTGTTTGGAGAATGCTCTAAATCTACCACAAGTGGTTACTTTTGCGTCCATGCGGCAGGTGGCGGCTTTCGCCGAAGGCGAGCTGTCGTTCCTGGCCCGCCAAGGGACGAAGAGTGGCAACCCCGGTCTACCCCTGACTGACCAGCAGAAGAAGATGCAGGCTCAGCAGAAGGACCAGGAGGCAAAGCGGGCTGCGGCGGCAAAGGGAGATGCTTCAAAAGGGGGCGCTCTCTCCGGAACGCAGCCGTCGAGGGCGCCGCGGAACGCCGACAGCAGTGAGGATAAGCTTTCTACTACGACTTCTAGGTGGGCAGCTACATGCCGGGACTGGGAGAAAGGCTCATGCCTCCGAGGGATTTCGTGTTACTTCCAGCGCGCAGGCATTCCTACCGACGAGGGGGGGTGCTGCATCTGCGGCGTCAAAGGCCAAAATACTTCAGAATACACCGCCCCCGGGGGGGGGGGGACCTGGAGCGGGAGAAGCACTGGGAGGCGTACCGCGCCCGGCGAGATAAAGCCCGAGAGGGGGAAGAGAAAGCCAAAGGGAAGACGAAAGGAGGAAGAGGTAGAGGAGACAAAGGAGGAAAAGGCAGAGGCAAGACGAGGAACACCCACTCATCGACTGCAGCCGCAACTCAGGCGGACATATCGGCATCGGCATCTTCGGCAGCACGCGCGGAAACTGCGAGGGCGGCAGTTTTGACCTCGGCTCCAGAGGTCTTCCCGCCCGGCGCGGTTGGTTTGGACAGCTGGGCAAACGTATATTTGATGCATAAAATGCCAAGTTCTGCCACCAAGGAGTGGAGCGATTCCCTGACGTTGGCTTGGGGCGCATGCCCGTGCGAATTGGGACAAGGCCCGAAGGGTATCCCAGTCTGCAAGGTGGAGCGGCGCCCCGGGGAGGAGAACATCGATCTTCTGCCTCTCGGCTGGCTGCGGAAGAGAGGCTGCGACTACGAGATGGGGGGAGCTGGGCCAGTTCTACGGGCCCCCAAGCAGAACGTCATCAAGGTCTACACTTGGGGCGGTCTTCCATGCATCACGCAGCAGTGTCTTCAACGTCGCTTCAACGACCTACCGAACCGTGGCGCTCCGGATCGCGATGGCCAGACGGCGCAACCATTGGTATCTGCCGCCCGAGTGGCGGGGGCCACGGTGAACAGCAAGGGCGCGAGGGCAGCCTTGAAGCACTTGGAGGGCGAGCTAGACAAGAAGAGCATGAACGCCATGATCTCCAAGTACAGAGCGCTGCCGGGCACGTGCAACGAGGGCCTGGCTGCGAGGGTGACACAAACTGACTTCGACTAGAGGTTCAAGGCTGTCGCGCCAGGAAAGTCAGGGACGAACGTTGACGTCGACGCTAGGTACCAGTTCTGGGAATGGTTCTCGGGGTCCAGCGTTCTGTCGAAGAAGGCCGCTGACCGTGGCGTGTCTCACCTGCCCCCGGTGGACTTCCGGTACGGCTGGTCTGTGGCGCGTCTCGTGGACCAGATCCAGCTGCTGTTCGGCGTCCTGGTGATGGGAGTGTCTACTCTTTTCGCTGCGCCTTTCTGTCACCCCTGGGGCCGGAATTCCAAGGCCACCCCTGAACCGCAACGCGCTGAGAAGAGAAGGCAGGAGGCGCCTGTACTTGCATTTTTTGCGATGTGTTGTTTTCTTCAGGCGTTGATGGGGCGGACGTGCATCATTGAGAACTCCGCGTTCAGCGACGTGTTCACCTCGACGGAGTCTCCTTTGCATCTTCTTAGGTCGATTACCTGTCATGTCAGACGAGTGGACCAATGCATGTACGGAGCGGAGATGGACAACCAGCCTGTACGGAAGAGCACGCATTTTCAATCAAATGGGTCGCTTGGTACTGATACTCGGTGTGATGGCACGCATATTCGCCTACACCTGCGCGGGCAGACCAGCGGTAATAGCCGGACCGCCATGGCCGCGCAGTACCCAGAAGCGCTGTGCGACGAGCTCCTGCACGACTTATCTGCCGATGGGGGGAGTCGAGGCCAGCGCTGGGGGAACCAGCATCCACCTGACAATTCCACCGACCAGCTTACGGCGACGGACCATATGAGCGAGAAGTGTGACATGATCGATGCTGCCCTGGTGAAAGTGCGGACCACGGCTCAGGAGCGCGGTATGATGCATATATGGCGTCAGTTGGTGGATCCATGGAAGTTCACTCTCGCGCAGAGCAGGCCAAGTACATCGACAGATATGTCGGCAAAGGCCGGCACCTCAACAGCGGCAGCTTCGAGGGTGCCTGAGCCGTCGGCCGGCACCTCGGGTGAGCCTGCGTTGGGAGTGCCTGAGCCTGCGGCTGACGTCGCCGTGGCAGCAGCCTCGAAGGAGCCGCTGGCGGCGGTAGGAACCTCAAGCGAGCTCATCCAGAAGTTCGTGGGTGACCTACGCGAAGACCCCTGGCAATCAAAGGGCTACAGCAAAAGCAGCGCCCTATGGCAGGCGGCCGCTCAGAGAAGGCACATGCATCGTAGACACGGCAATCGAAGTCTTGGGGTGTGTTCTGTGGACCTCAGTGGGCCTCGTGAGGGAACTCCTCAGCCCGGAGCGCGCATAGGGAGCTCAATGGGACACTACTGTTTGGTAGTTGTTGTTCGATTTTCTGACGATCGTTCAGGCCCTGACGGCGCCCCACTGCTCGCTGCTGATCGTGGTCGTGATGCTGTTCCCGATGTCCACGGTGGTGCTGCACAACCTGCGGGTGATCCGGCAGTGCTGGGTGAGCCACGCGTGCGCGACGATGGTGATGAAGATGATCCCGTCTCTGACGCGCCCGGAGCTGCGCCCGCGGCAGGAGGCGGCGTACCGGGCGAGGAGGCGGGGGGGGCTGCAGACTCGAAGCGAGGTGCGCTGATCTACGCGGCAATCCTTGAGAAGAAAAGTGACGCCCCTAAGGCGTTGCAAAGGCTCTTGGCGCAGATTCGTACCGAGCATGATTCAATGCCGTCTCGACTGGTATACCGAGTCCATTCGGACCGTGGTTTGGAGTTTGTGAACGCTACTGTGGAGGAGTACTTGATATTTCACGGCATCTCGCACACTACCACGCAGGGTTACGATCCTAGTTCCAACGGCGTGGCTGAGAACGCAGTGGGCCTTCTAAAGAAGAGGGCGAGGTACTTGCTCTCCGGATCTCGCCTTCCCACCCGCCGGTGGGGCATGTCCATCTACAGAGTGGGCGCTGGATATGCTGACCCTCCGAAGGTACCGTTCGGCACCAGGGTCCTGGTCAACGTGGATCCTCAGCCCAGGAATGCATTCCTCCCCAGGGCCCTTCCTGCTACTGTGTTCGGGCCTTGCGACTCGGTCCCGGGAGGTCTGCGGGTGCACCAGGGGGGGCGGGTCTCCGCAAAGGTGAATGCACAGACGGCAGGTCTTACAGAAGAGGAGCTGGTCATCGCGAAGGCGACCTGGGACGACTACGAGACGCCCGTCGCGCCAATGCCAGCTCCCGAGGCGGCGCTGCACGATGCATCTGCCGTGGAGCTCTCGCCAGGCACCGGGGCAGCAACGCTGGCGACAGCAACCTGCCCAGCCTGCCATCAAAGACATCAGAAGAGAAAGGTGGCCACCGATCACAACCACGAATGGGGGAAGTGCACTTTGGCTGTGCGGCCCCCGATGCCAGTGGCGGCCGTTCTCGAGGAAGTACAGCTGTTGGAGGCGCCGGAGGAGGACGCCAGGCCCGAGGAGAAGCCTGCTCCAGCTTTGGTTCGAGTCGAGGAGCTCGTTGACCAGTTGGACGTGGAGCCGATCGTGGACCCTATCTTCGGAAACGCTACGGCAGCTGCATCCACGGGGTGCACTTTCAACGCATCTCCTATTATCGATGTTGGAACTGGTATGGGTACCTTCAATGAGATCAGTGACAACATGAATATGCACCCGCATGCTCTGTTGGCACTCTCGGAGAACTCAAGCCGCGCTTGCATTGCAGGTGCCACTTGGGAAGCAGGCGTTGCGTCGGCTTACCGCTCCATGGACGACGAGCTCCACGAGGGCGCCGCGATCACAGACAGCCTCTCCTATCTTGCCTCCGAGCCGGTTAAGGGGGCTGCAAGTTTTCGACGTGCAGCGCCGGTGATCTTGAACTCCAGCGGGGAGCGGGCGAATGTCCCGCCGGAGGTCATCCACGAACTGATTACGGAAGGCGAGCTCGAGCTTCTTCAGGAGCTTGGTACCCGGAGTGTTACGGCAGCAGAGGTCCGAGCGTCGACGGGGAAACTGAGGGAACAGTGGAGAGTTGCCACTGAGAAAGAGTACGTTGAGAATTTTTTCAACAGGAACGTCTTCACGGTTACCACGCCTCAAGAAAGGCGACAACATGGAGTTCTTCTTCCTATGAAGTGCGTGTACACCATGAAGGGGGGAGCCTACAAGGTGAGGTCCGTGGCCTGCGGGAACTTCGAGAAGGGCGACCCGACGCAGCAGCTATGGACGGCCCAAGCCGAGACTTCCAGCTTGATTGCGTCAGTGCGCTTGGCCCTCCTGCGAAGATGGAAAATCGGAGCTGTGGACGTCTCCGGAGCGTTTATGAATGCACCTCTACCTCAACACATGCTCGTTGTGGTTCAACCTCCGAAGGCCTTTGTGGAGCAGGGGTTGGCTAAGCCGGGGGAGCTGTGGACGTTGCACAAAGCAGTGTACGGTCTGAAGATATCCCCCCGTGCATGGGGAATCCACAGAGATGATACTTTTCGCCGTCTGAAGTGGGCAGCTGGCGGTATTCGCTGCAGGCTGAAGCAATTCGACAGCGACACGCAGGTGTGGAGGATCGTTGAGGACACTGACGACATCAACTCGCAGCACACATTGGGATTACTGGTGGTTTACGTGGACGGCTTCTTAGTGCTAAGCCCTGAAGGGGGCATGCGGGACAAGCTCCTGAGTGAGTTCCGGGCGAAGTGGAAGATGAGTGACGAGGTCGCGTTGACGGAGACTACCCCTCTTACCTTCCTAGGACTAGAGCTTCGCCGTGACCCTGCAGGCGTGCACCTAGGACAATGGAAGTTCATCGACAATCTGCTCGAGAAGTACGGCATGACCGACGCGAACCCTCTGACATCAGTGCAGATGGATGCGCCAGGAGACGAGGATATCCCCGATCTTCAACGTCTCCGGGCTCTTCAAGCATACGCTGGTGAGTTCAATTGGCTTGCTACGAGAAGCCGTGCCGACGTGGCATACTTCGTAAGCCTGCTCGCGAGCGCCCTCACTAAGCACGCAGGGTGGTCAGAGCAGTTGGCCAAGAAGGTTTTCCGATACCTGATGGGCACGAAGGACGACGGTTTGTATTTGAGCATCGACGGGAACGAGAACTCTTTGGTGGCCTGGTCGGACGCCGGTTACGCGGGCACCAACATGAAGGCGCAGACTGGGATGTTCGTATCTTGGGCCGGTCCCCCGCTCTTGTGGCGTTCTTCACGCCAGACGGTCAGCACTTTGAGCACAGCCGAGGCGGAATTAGGAGCGGCCGCGCTGACGTGGCAGGTTACGGAGGGCGTCCGTGTACTCTTGGAGGAGTGGGGCATCATATTCGACTTTGTTATACTGCTTCTTGATAGCGCTGCAGCCCTTACCATTGTGTCAAACGGGTCTAACTGGCGCACGAGATACTTTGGAGTCAGAGGGAGCCGCATTTGCGAAGAGATTCAGATGGGCAGGCTCAGCGTCGGACGCCAGGAGACGAATAGCATGGTGGCGGACGGCCTGACGAAGTTGGGGACGGCTGACGCCCCGAGGAACCTGCGCGACGCCATGCGCGGGAAATACCCGCCCCCGCCACAGAAGTTCCTTCTCACGGCATGCGCGGCACATTTTACGAGTACTACGCCAGGGCCGCACCAGAACGGAGACATGGCCGGGGATGGACCGGTTCATCGCCCAGGTCTTGAGCGTGGTGATCCCGCTTGGCGAGCAATCTTCAAGGCGATATACGAGTGTAAGAAGCCACAGCTTGTACCTCGGATGTCGGACCTCTACAAGAAATACGAAGAGCAGGAACCAGAGTGGTGGGACGCCCTTGATGAGATGCATGATCTAAGCAATGTCTTTCTATGGCGCTCATTTTCATCAGCTGCTGGTCTCGCAGAGAACTGCCGGGAGCCTTCGCCAGGAGATGAACAACAAGATGTTCGATTTCAAGATGTGGAACCAGTGGAACCATCTCAACATGATGTCCTTGGAGATGGTGATCATCCAGAGGTGGCACAGGAAACCCCGAAAAAGAAGAAGAAGACGCGTCGGGGAGGTAAACCTCGCGTTCCACAGCGTGACCGGAAGTGGTACGATGTGCCCCAGGGCAGGGGGAGTGTGTACCACTGAGCGTAGCAAGAGTTTCATCGTAGCAGCGCAGCAGTGTAGCAGTGTATCAGAGACTCTGTAAAGAAGTTACGGTTTTCGTCAACGGAAACTTCGGCGTGCCTGAGTCGTTGACCGGCACCGGTTTCGGCGTGCCTGAGTCGTTGACCGGCACCTGGGACCGTCTTCCGAAGGCCCCGAGAACTTGGAGCTAAAATTCGAATCCTCCGGCCGGTCGGCTGGGCAGCCCCTGAAACCCCAAAAAAGGGCTCTTCGAATTTCCTTCCGGGGCGCGTTCCGGAAGAGCCTTTCCGGAACGCGGTGGGGCCGCCCGTGTTTATGTTGTAATCTTGCATAGCGTTGCATTGCTTGGACATGTGCCAATGGTGATCGGTTGCCGACGCCATTTGGCTCAAGATCGATACTTGTGCGCACGTCTACTGGAAAAACGTCTCTCTTACATCTTACGACAGATGGCATATTCTCCATCAGAGTCCTCAATAGTACCCCGTGGGCACCCACTGCGTCACCCCGTGGGGCACCAAGTACAGACCAACGAAACCAGCCTCACAAGTTTGGAGCTCGAACTGCGCTCCCGAGGCCTTTGGAATAATCGTGCAAGCGCCAAGAATGCACCATGCATTTATGACACTCAGGTCAGGCGATCGCAAACATGGATCAAGGGGGCGTGGATTAGCGACGGGTCCCGTTTCCATGGGGAATCGCCGAATTCCGCCGCCGAGCGAGGCGGCACTGGCCGCATTTTGGGGAGGGCACCTCCCCCGATCCATGGATTTGGCGACCGCGCGCCAAATCCATGGATCGCTAATCCATGTTTCCGCGCCCCCGGTATTTATGACATGCAATGTCGAGATGTCGAAGAGACCGGATGACACTCTGCTCAGTGTTCCACCACCCGCAACGGATTCCAGAGTCCAGGGATCTCTGGAGAAGGAGTATAGGCAGGTGGCGAACTTGAGCGGCATGCGCCGTCCTAGGGGCAGCGCAGGCTGAAACGTGCCTCGAAGCAGTACCATCCGGCGTGTCGGATCCCGTTATCGCTCGGGAAGTTGCGCTTTCTGAGGGAGGGAAAGCACGGAGGCGAGGAGCGCACCAACCATGGACTATCAGTTAGTTGTTTTTTCTTCCTGCCGTCAGCGCAAGCTTCGGGGGCGTCCTGGTGGGGGGTGAGGACCAAGAGTGTGTGGACCTGATATCACTGTGTGGGCCATGAAGTCTCCCAGATGTCACGCCCCTTTCCTTTTCAATATGTGCCCTGATGCCCCCCGTCCGCGCAGCGCACATGCCTCGGGCCATGGTGCACAAAACCCGCCCGTCCCAAATCCGCTCAAAAATCAATCCCCACTCCCCGACTCCGGGGGTCTCATTCGGACCCGTTCCTCGAGGCGGTGGCGACGAGACACCTTCAGGAGGGCCCAGAAGGACGAGAAGCGCACTCGCCGCTGTCCCCTGGAGACAGGGGGGCCTCAGGGCCCACCTCGGGGCGCCCAACGGCTGCGTTTGGGCGCGGGCGCCCACCGTGGCTGGAGTCGTGGCCGCTGCGACACCTCGTTGCGGGCACGTCGTCCTGGGCACACGTGTGGCCATTCCCAGCCCTTCTTCTCATCACACGGAAGCTGATGCAGCTTGCAGCTGGCAGTGGTCGGCCGACGCTGTCTTGTCCTGGCCGCCCCCCGGTGCCAGCCGAGGAGCACGGCGTCCCGAGGCAGAGGCGCGGGCGTGCTGCTCTTTCACCTCTCCAGCTTCGGGGCCGCCGCCGTCCTTCGGAGGGTCTCGATATGTGCACAACCTCTGTAAGTCGGCCAGGGAGCAAAGGGATTCGGCGAAAGAATTCTGAGCCGTGGGACTCCTGTGGACCATTCTCGTGGGCAAATTTCAAAGTAAGCCCTCCAGATTTGAAGAATGTGATTTCAATTTGGTTTTGCCTCTTCTCCCTTCTCCTCCTTATCCTCCTCCTCCTCCTCCTCCTCCTCCTCCTCCTCCTCCTCCTCCTCCTCCCTCCTCCTCCTCATGTTTCTCTATTGCGACGGATGGCCAACGCTCGTCAACATCCTTCTCTCCCTCCTTCTGTCTATTCTCCCCTTCTCATCATCCTGTTCTTCCCATTCCTCCTCCACGTCGACTTCCTCTTCATCCTGTTTATCCTCTTCCCCTTCTCTTCTGTAAGGTTACGCATATACTCCTTGTGTGGAGGATCTGCAAACATATTCCTTGGTAGAGAACTTGCATATGGATGAATTGTGCGAACTGCGGAGACCCACAACATCTGAGGAACAACAGCATCGAATAAACCAACGACGGATTGAAAACATGTTACACATCCTAAGGAAGCACCAACCAAAGCAAGCCAAGCAAAGCTTTCACTACTCACTCCACTGTTCCACCGCTGTATTGCGCCCCCTCTCCACGCTCCATCCTCATTCCCACCACCCCCACCCCGCCTTTCACTCCTCCTCCCTCTCCTCCTCCCTGCCCTGCGCCATCGAGGAGAGCAGGAAGAGAGGGAGGAGCGGGAGGAGGAGGAGGAGGAGGACAAGGATGAGGGGGTACGAAAGGAGCAGGAGGGAGGATGGAAGGCGAGGAGGAGGATGAGGAGGATGCGGAGGAGGAGGAGGAGGAGGAACGGGCGAATCATGATAGGGGAGTGCGGTCAGGAGGAGGGGGAAAGAGGAGGAGGAGGAGGAGGAGGAGGAGAAACAGGAGGAGTCTAAGCTCTTGCTGATCGCTCCTCTCTCCCAAATCTTCCTCCTCCTCCGTGCTCATTTGCCTCCTTTTTTCCCCTGTCCCCCCCTGCTTCTGCGGCTGCTGTGCCGGAGGCCACGTCTCGCCCGCCCAGATCCACGAGGTTCGGTGAATGCCAGGAGGCGTCTTTGGAAATTGTTGTGTTCGTCGCATTTCCGGCTTTGATTCGGGAAATTCCCGTTGAGAGCCAGGGCGTTGTTAAACACACTTTCTTCAACCGGAGCTTCTGGATCCTTCTGGGAGTTCCTCGAACCAAAGTTGGCCGCTTAGGAAAGCATAGCACGCTTAACGCTCCGCGCATCCCCACCAGCCCATCCAGACACGATGCCCCGCGGAGCTGCCCTGAACTCCTAGATGCCTCTTGCCGGCTTTGGGTGGCCTCCTGGAGCGTTTTGGGTGTCTCTGGGGGGCCTATTGGGCCTCTTGGGGGCCGCTTGGGAGCCTCTCCGGAATTACTTGGGGGCCTTTTGGGAGCTTCTTGGAGCCTCTTCGGCGCCTCCTGGGGCCCTCTTGGAGCGTTCTTGGGATCGTTTCGTACCGTATTCGGACAATCATGGAGTCGATTGGTAAAATTACCCTGCGGCGTACCCAACCCACGTGCATCAAATGGCAAGAGGAGCATGCCAACATTAGCAGGAACAGCGACAGTGTAGACGCGGCGATTTGCTGTGCAAGCTACATGGGATGCGCATGCGTTGCACGATTCACAGGACGACGATCGAAAGAACGAGGCTTGAGGCCCCAGGATCGAAGAAGAACGGGTACGGGAACGAGGGGTAGGAGAGGGATGGAATGGAGGGCGGGGGGGGCGAAAGGCCATCGCGGAAGCAGCAGCATGCATGGAGAAGGTGAGGCGGGGAATAGGACGACGATGAAAGTGGCGGGAGGAGACAGAAGACTGCCGCGTTTTTCAAGCGCGAGCTAAACCCGCAGCGCTGCCTGCGCCATGTCGTCGCAGAGTTCCACATGATAAAACTTGTTTAGAGTGCAAGGAACGAGCGAGGCGTAGCTCGCCCGCTAGCTTCTCCGCCTCCTTCCCGCACATTTCAGCGCGGGAGCTGAACGCTCGCAGGCGCGCCGCCAGGTCTGCGGGCGGCCCGCGGGAAAGAAACTCAAGGCCGGGGTCGCGTATCATCAATCGGTTGTCCATCGTCCAAAGTTGCACTGGCGACGTACTGGTTGAACGCGGAGCGAGCAGCATCACGCGCGTGCCTGAACGCCACGCAGGTACAGTGCACGCGCGATTGGGACTTCAGGTCGATCACGCGCGTCTCCACCAGGCTTGGCAACACCACGCGACTGAGGATCTCACTGCGGTCTGCCATGCTGCTGTCCGCGAATGCAATGCGCTGCCTGCAAGTAAGGCGGCGGCGTCCACTTGTCTCAGAAGATGTTCCCGCGGGCCCGAAGGGCGACCGCCAGCTCGAGCCGCGGCGCCGGCAGGCCAGATAAGGATCATGCAACAGCAAAGACGATGACAGAGCAACGAGGTATCGGCGAGTGCATGACCGGCCTCCGTTTCCTGCACTTCTTTCCTGTAGTTCCCCTAGCTCATCGAGCTCAGCAGATGTTTCTGCGGGCCCGAAGGACGACCGCCAGCTCGAGTCGCAGCGCCACGTGGCACGAACCGCAGAGCAAGGGCACGCGAGCATTGCTCGTGGTCAGAATCTGAGTCCCCGTGGTGCCTCACTCCGCTGGCCACCCACCAGCAGCCCTCGAAAGTGGCGACAGTTTCACAGATCGCAGCCGCCCAGGGGTGGCGAGGTCTAATCTGAGTCCCCGTGGTGCCTCACTCCGCTGGACCCACCAGCAGCCTCGAAAGTGGCGACAGTTTCACACAGGGATGGCGAGGTCTAATCTGAGTCCCCGTGGTGCCTCACTCCGCTGGACCCACCAGCAACCCTCGAAAGTGGCGACAGTTTCACAGATCGCAGCCCCCCAGAGATGGCGAGGTCTAATCTGAGTCCCCGTGGTGCCTCACTCCGCTGGACCCACCAGCAGCCCTCGAAAGTGGCGACAGTTTCACAGATCGCAGCCCCCCAGAGATGGCGAGGTCTAATCTGAGTCCCCGTGGTGCCTCACTCCGCTGGACCCACCAGCAGCCCTCGAAAGTGGTGACAGTTTCACAGATCGCAGCCCCCCCCCAGAGATGGCGAGGTCTAATCTGAGTCCCCGTGGTGCCTCACTCCGCTGGACCCACCAGCAGCCCTCGAAAGTGGCGACAGTTTCACAGATCGCAGCCCCCCCCCCCCAGGGATGGCGAGGTCTAATCTGAGTCCCCGTGGTGCCTCACTCCGCTGGACCCACCAGCAGCCCTCGAAAGTGGTGACAGTTCCGCAGATCGCAGCCCGCCAGGGATGACGTGAAAGGCAAGAGAAGAGAAGAGGAGGAGCGAAGAGAGGAGGAGAAGGCAAGCACGAGAGGAGAGGAGGAGGGAAGAGAGGGGGGGGCGGGAGGAGGAGAACGGATACCGCAGTGCTCTATTCAAAACGAGTACCCAACGCAGGAGGGTTGGGAAAAAACACACACACACACACCAAAAGTGCCGAAATGGGTTCAAAACCTTGTGTTTCGCTTTCTCGTTTCGGTCTTCCTGGACGCTCTAACCCCTCGGGGCCACACCCCGTCCAGACCCACAGGGAGAGGGGGGGGTGGTTGGTGGAGGGCTCGAGACACGTCTCTCAGATGCAAACTGTTCGGCTCTCTTCCACTTACCCTCCCAACACATAAGTAATCCATGAGTCTCCGCGTATTCAGCGGTCGCCTTTGGATGGGCAGCTATTGGGAACCAAAACGTAGCCCAGGTGCGCGACGGGGCGAGGTGCGCCGCGCGCGCCAGGCGCGCCACGCGCACCAGCGTGCCAGGCGCCCTGGGGTCCAAGCGTGCCAGGCACGCCTGGTGCGCCAGATGCTCCACGTGCGCCACGTGTGCCGCATGCCCCAGCCGCGCCAGGTGCGCCAGGTGCGCCACGTCTGGGACGGGACATGCGCAGAGTGTGCCAACGGGCCCGCGCACATCGGGAAACACGTCGGTTCCGACCATCCTTGTCGAAAACCTATGCGCGATCGCGTCGGGAGGGTCATCATGGTGTATGGTGGGCCTGCACACACCAGGCGATATGCCAGCTCCCGCCGCTCCTGTCAAAAACCAATGCGAAGGGATCGCGGGGGACCCGCGCACGTTCCAGATTTAGTCACGAAGCGCAAGCTGCACTGTTCCCAACCATCCTGTGGTGTTGGGTCCTCGTTTTGAATAGACAGCGCCCCGCATCAGTCCTTCCTTTCTTCCTTTCTCCTCCCTCTCCTCCCACTCGAACGGTACGCTACCGGGTACCAGCACAATCTGCATTCTTGTAGCAAAGCAGGGAGCAGGGCTTGGTCATGAGCGTTTGGCCCAAGCCTGGCCAGGCCCCGCGCCCGCTCTACATCGCTACACAGTGTATATCACACACCCGATTGTTTTACACACCAGAGAGCACCTTTTGTCACCGCTTGTCAGTCCAGTTGGTAGCGGAGCACGTCGCTCCACCAATTGTCGCCATGGCCCGCGTGGCTTCGCCCCGTGACCTCGGCGGTCGTTCTGCGTCGTTTCCGACGACAGTCGATCCCTGCACGAGGTGTCCCTATCCACAAGGAAGTGCGGGACAGGATCCCACCTTTCCACCTGGCCTAGTGCCTGTGCCTGCTCCCACGTCTCCTCAGTGGTGTGGAAGGGCAACTTCTCCTCCTGCACGCGCTCCGTCAACGGTTGCTGGAGCTCCTCGAATGCCTCCTGTAGGTGCTCCTCAGTGCTCCTCCAGATGCGCGCACCTTCTCTCCTTCGCCTCCTTCAGCTTCTGCTGTTTCTTGCTCTCTGGATTGGGCTTCGTCGTAGGCTTCGCCACCGTCGGGAGTGGCTTCGCCGTCGTCAGCGTCCTGTTCCACCAGCCCACCTTAGCAAACTTCACCTCCAGCAACATGTCCGGATGC